TATTTAACAAGTATTTAACATAAATATGGCCCTAGAAGTGCCCTTTCCACAAGTACCCGCAGAGAGCTCCTTACCTCACCACCGCTCCGCAGTCACTACCCATACCCAGAACTGTCAATCACAGCTGATCATTAGAAAACGGGAATACTTTGGAAAACGTATTTCCATGGTTAACTTTTCTGTATTTTAGCAAAGTAGAGTTCCGTATATTTTAGGACTCTGTAACACCCCCACCACAAAGATAAACCCATCGGGTTTTATACTCATTAACCTGGTCTGGAGAGACTATCCGCTATTATGTTATTACGACCCTTGATATGTTTTATCACTAGATTGTAAGGTTGCAACGCTAAGTACCATCTGGTAAGACGTTGGTTTTTGTTTTTCATTTTCGTCACAAACTGAAGTGGGTTGTGATCACTAAAGACTTCGATCTCGTATGGCGTGCAGCTCAAATACACCTCGAACTTTTCAAGAGCCATGAGAAGAGCGGCAGCCTCCTTCTCGACCGTGCTGTAGTGCGTTTGGTGCGGCTTGAACTTCGCGGAAGAGTAGCAGACCGGGTGCAGAACCCCATCTTTCCCTGCCTGCAACAATACTGATCCTGCAGCCACGTCACTAGCATCTACCTGGAGGGTAAAAGGTTTATCAAAATCTGGAGACCTCAACACAGGTTCACACGTTAGAAAGTTCTTTAACTTCTTGAAAGACTCCTGACATTCAACCGTCCATTTAAATTCTTGCTTTGGACTCAAAAGATCTGTTAAGGGTTTGGCTACGTCAGCAAAGTTCGGGCAAAATCTACGATAGTACCCAGCCATACCAATGAATCTTTGAATTGCTCTTTTATTCTTAGGTACAGGTAACTCATTGATAGCTTCTACCTTGGCTTTAACTGGAGCAACCTCTCCTCCTCCAACCTCGTGGCCGAGATACCTCACCTTAGCTTGTGCAAACTCACTCTTGACTAAATTAACAGTGAGCCCAGCATCTTGCAGACGTTCAAAGAGGGATCGCAATGTTGCCACATGGTCCTCCCATTTACTGCTGTAAACTACAAGGTCATCAATGTATACCTTTACCCCTTTGAGTCCACGTATTATTGAACCCGTCAGTCGCTGAAATGAGCTAGGCGCATTCTTTAAGCCAAAAGGAAGCACACAGTAGTTGTAAAGTCCATTAGGTGTCACAAATGCTGTTATCTGCCTCGCTTCAGGTGACAAGGGTACCTGATAATAGCCCTTCAGTAAATCGAGTACAGTAATAAACTTTGACTCCCCAATGGAATCTATTATATCCAATATTCTAGGTAAAGGATAACAATCCCCTTTTGTGAGCTCATTGACCCTTCTATAGTCTGTCACCATTCTCCAACCCTTAGATTTTGGCACGAGTGCACAGGGTGATGCCCACTCGCTCTCACTAAGTTCAGCAAGACCATTTTTGAGCAGAAAGCTTACCTCCTCTTCCATAATTTTTTCCTTATAAGGAGACATTCTATACGGTGCTTGTTTGACAGGGATAGCCCCGTCTACCAGCTTCACGTCATGAGTCACCAGATGCGTCTGTCGTGGCACATCTCCAAGAACATCACTAAATTCCTGGAGTACACACAAGATATCTTGTTGCTGTTCGTGGGGTAAATGAGAAAATTTAGAGGCTGGATTTTTCAAGATGTCACTGTTTTGCAATTTGAACCCAACATCGCCTACAACAAATTCACTTTCCATCTCATTTGAAATAGTAGTATCTCCCCGCTCCTCAGGACCAGAGATCACACACAAAGCAGTCACAGCATCTGGTCTGCGCGAATGATATTTCTTAAGGAGGTTGATGTGAACTACCTTTTTCTTTTTCCTGCGACCTGGAGTAGCAATTATATAATTAATGTCATTAATTTTCTCCAGTACTTTGAAAGGTCCCTGATATTTAGCAGTTAATGGTTGTTTTCTAACAGGTAAAAACAGTAGCACTTTTTCCCCGACAGCAAATTCTCGTTCAGCTGCCTTCCTGTCATATATTTCCTTCATTGACCACTGTGCACTTTCTAGATTCTCATGAGCAAATTTTTGAAGATGTTGCAACCTGGTTTTCATTTTTTCCACATAATCACTTAGACACACTGAATTTTCCATACCTATCCAGCTTTCATACAACAATTTCATGGGTCCGCGGATGTCTCTCCCAAAAAGCAATTCATATGGTGAAAACCCTAGGCTCTCCTGCTTAGTACATCTTATAGCATACAGCATTAAAGGCACTCCTAGATCCCATTCATTACCTGTTTCCTGACAATACTTCGTGAGCATACTCTTAAGTGTCTGATGGTACCTTTCAAGGGCACCTTGCGTCTGTGGCCGATAAGCTGTGGCACTATACTGCTTAATGTGTAATAATTTCATTACTTCCTGAAACATTACTGACCAAAAATTGCTTCCCTGATCTGACTGTAATACACGTGGCATACCATATTGTGTAAAAAAATTGATCAAGACTGGGACAATAGTACGAGATGTAGCTCGTTTTAAAGGAATTGCTTCAGGATATCTAGTACTAGCACACATGAGAGTAAGCAAAAACCTATTTCCGCTCTTTGTTTTAGGAAGAGGTCCAACACAATCAATGATTACCCTTGAAAACGGTTCCTCAAATGCAGGAATAGGCTTAAGAGGTGCAGGTGGAATAACTTGGTTAGGTTTACCAACCCTTTGACATATGTCACAAGTTCTGCAGTATCTCGTTACATCTGACTTAACACCTGGCCAGTAGAAATATCTGATGACCTTATCAAGTGTCTTCTTGATACCCAAGTGGCCTCCACCTAAGTCGTGAGCCAAACCAATAACTTTAGATCGATAGCAAGTTGGTACCACCACTTGAAAAACTTCATTCCACGAATCGGTTGCTGGTACTTCAGGGGGTCTATATTTCCTCATCAATATCCCAGTATTTAGATAATACCCAGATGACAGTGACTGAATTTCTGATTTTGACATGGCTGCATTACGTAGTGGCATTAGGGATTCGTCAGATTTCTGAGCTTCAATTAACATCCTGCTTGTTATAGGAATCTCATCAATGTTAACTACTTCCCCAATATCATCAATTTTCTCAGTAGAAACTTCAATACTATTTACCTCAACAGCCTCATCACCATTTACCTCAACAGCAGCTTCATCGCCATTTACCTCAACAGCAGCTTCATCGCCATTTACCTCAACAGAAGCTTCATCGCCATTTACCTCAACAGAAGCTTCATCGCCATTTACCTCAACAGAAGCTTCATCGCCATTTACCTCAACAGAAGCTTCACCACCATTTACCTCAACAGCAGCTTCACCACCACCAAATAGACAATCCAGACTAAGATCATCCTGCCTAACATCTCCAGCAGAAAGCCTTGGTAACTTCTTCGCCTGGCTTCTCGTTACAGCACATGCTGGAAAAAGTCCTGGATTATTTCTTGCAACATCTACAGCAGGATCATAAGCAACTGGGGATGGACAAACAACAGGATCAGGCAGAACTCGAATCCCCGCAATATCATTCCCCATTAGAAACGATACACCCTTAATAGGCAATGAGTCATGAACACCAACTACAACAGATCCACTCACCAAATCCGTCCTTAGATACAACTTACATAGGGGCACTGTAACACACCCTCCAAAACCTTCCACTACTACGAATTTCCCAGTGTATGCCTTTTCCACAAAAGGAACTGCCTCCTTCAAAATGACACTGTGTGAAGCACCAGTATCACGAAATACAGACACAGGGACAGAAGAACCAGCTTCATCTAAGGCCACGGAACCAGAAAAGATGAAAGGATGAAATGAATCATGATCATCAACCGAGGGACGCTGCGGCAGATCCTGGACATTGTCTGTTGGTACAAAGGTATAATTAGCTACAGGTTTAGGCTCTGAAACTTGTCCCTTCCTCACTAACTTGGGACAATTTGCCTTAATATGGTCGATTTTCTTACAGTAAAAACATCCAGACGACCATCCTGAACCCGTACCTTTACCATAGCTACTTCTCTTTGCCACAAAATCAGAATTCATGCTATCCCGCCCAACAGACTTACCATCCACAGACGGAGCGAAAGCGGAGGGGTGAGAGTATTTATTTATATTTACTTTACTTTTAGAAATCAGATTAAAATTCTCAGCTAACAAAGCTGCTCTCTCAACGGTGTTAACTTCACGCTCCAGCAGGTACATGCGAACTTCTGGCGACACTCCCCTTATGAATTGTTCCAACAGCATAAGTTCTTTTAATCTTTCATAATCACTAACATTGCTTGCAGATAACCAACGAGTTTGCAGTTTAGAAATCTTGTGCATATACTCTACAAATGACTGGTTATTATCTTTGACACAATTCCGAAATCGGTTTCTATAAAACTCAGCACTCAACTGATACGCTTTAAGAATCGCATCCTTCATGGTGTCATAATCGGACTGATGCGATCCAGCCAGAGAGAGATAGACAGAACGACCCTTCCCTTTTAGACTCGACTGAATAAGTATGGGCCAGTAGTCGCGTGGCCACTTCAGAGTGGCTGCCACGTGCTCAAACTGTCCGAAATATTCCTCAGGATCAGACTCGTCAAAATTTGGGACGAACTTAATTACTTTCGAGAGATCAAAATCATGCTCCTGCATCTGCAATTCCCTTTTCCTTTCCATTAATTGCAACTGAAAATTTCGCTCTCTTTCTCTGTCTTTTAACTTCTCTCTCTCCAACTCAATCTCCATTACCCGTAAACTCTTATCTTCAGGATCACACAACATCAATGCGTTATCCTCAAGCAAGCCAGATGATACTAAATGAGTAATAACCGCTTTCTTAATTTCACTCTTGCGCCACGCTGCTCGAATTGTTATTTCAAAATGTCGAGCTAACTGAACCCAGTCGGCTTTCTTTACGTCACAATCCTCAATAGCCTCTAATGAAGGACTTTCCACAAACTCGTCGAATTTAAATGCGCTCATGATTACTGCAAATCGAATTAATAAAACATCCAAATAAGAAAACCTTTACAATGTTTCAGTCTCAGTTACGTTTGGTCAGGCCCCCATATGTTACATCTAGGTGTATGAATTGTTAATTATATACTAATGAAATTCCCTTTCTCTCATTATTCATACCACTCGTTATCATTTCTCTTTGTTCACGAGCATTATCCTTCGTAAAAATCAATTTCTTTCCAATAATAAGGAATCGAAACAAACTGTTGCCGATAACAAAAGTTTAATGAATACCACAATAGTGACAATAGTGTGCAATAAAGAAAACAAAAAATATATGTACATAAAAGAATGCTGCGGTCTGCCGGAGCAGCCGTCTGGCAAATAATCTAATGTTTTAGCATTTGTACCTTTTATTATGTTTTTATTTCTTATCTGGATGGACGTTGGAACAAAACATATCTCTAGATATATATTTAACAAGTATTTAACATAAATATGGCCCTAGAAGTGCCCTTTCCACAAGTACCCGCAGAGAGCTCCTTACCTCACCACCGCTCCGCAGTCACTACCCATACCCAGAACTGTCAATCACAGCTGATCATTAGAAAACGGGAATACTTTGGAAAACGTATTTCCATGGTTAACTTTTCTGTATTTTAGCAAAGTAGAGTTCCGTATATTTTAGGACTCTGTAACACCCCCACCACAAAGATAAACCCATCGGGTTTTATACTCATTAACCTGGTCTGGAGAGACTATCCGCTATTATGTTATTACGACCCTTGATATGTTTTATCACTAGATTGTAAGGTTGCAACGCAAAGTACCATCTGGTAAGACGTTGGTTTTTGTTTTTCATTTTCGTCACAAACTGAAGTGGGTTGTGATCACTAAAGACTTCGATCTCGTATGGCGTGCAGCTCAAATACACCTCGAACTTTTCAAGAGCCATGAGAAGAGCGGCAGCCTCCTTCTCGACCGTGCTGTAGTGCGTTTGGTGCGGCTTGAACTTCGCGGAAGAGTAGCAGACCGGGTGCAGAACCCCATCTTTCCCTGCCTGCAACAATACTGATCCTGCAGCCACGTCACTAGCATCTACCTGGAGGGTAAAAGGTTTATCAAAATCTGGAGACCTCAACACAGGTTCACACGTTAGAAAGTTCTTTAACTTCTTGAAAGACTCCTGACATTCAACCGTCCATTTAAATTCTTGCTTTGGACTCAAAAGATCTGTTAAGGGTTTGGCTACGTCAGCAAAGTTCGGGCAAAACCTACGATAGTACCCAGCCATACCAATGAATCTTTGAATTGCTCTTTTATTCTTAGGTACAGGTAACTCATTGATAGCTTCTACCTTGGCTTTAACTGGAGCAACCTCTCCTCCTCCAACCTCGTGGCCGAGATACCTCACCTTAGCTTGTGCAAACTCACTCTTGACTAAATTAACAGTGAGCCCAGCATCTTGCAGACGTTCAAAGAGGGATCGCAATGTTGCCACATGGTCCTCTCATTTACTGCTGTAAACTACAAGGTCATCAATGTATACCTTTACCCCTTTGAGTCCACGTATTATTGAACCCGTCAGTCGCTGAAATGAGCTAGGCGCATTCTTTAAGCCAAAAGGAAGCACACAGTAGTTGTACAGTCCTTTAGGTGTCACAAATGCTGTTATCTGCCTCGCTTCAGGTGACAAGGGTACCTGATAATAGCCCTTCAGTAAATCGAGTACAGTAATAAACTTTGACTCCCCAATGGAATCTATTATATCCAATATTCTAGGTAAAGGATAACAATCCCCTTTTGTGAGCTCATTGACCCTTCTATAGTCTGTCACCATTCTCCAACCCTTAGATTTTGGCACGAGTGCACAGGGTGATGCCCACTCGCTCTCACTAAGTTCAGCAAGACCATTTTTGAGCAGAAAGCTTACCTCCTCTTCCATAATTTTTTCCTTATAAGGAGACATTCTATACGGTGCTTGTTTGACAGGGATAGCCCCGTCTACCAGCTTCACGTCATGAGTCACCAGGTGCGTCTGTCGTGGCACATCTCCAAGAACATCACTAAATTCCTGGAGTACACACAAGATATCTTGTTGCTGTTCGTGGGGTAAATGAGAAAATTTAGAGGCTGGATTTTTCAAGATGTCACTGTTTTGCAATTTGAACCCAACCTCGCCTACAACAAATTCACTTTCCATCTCATTTGAAATAGTAGTATCTCCCCGCTCCTCAGGACCAGAGATCACACACAAAGCAGTCACAGCATCTGGTCTGCGCGAATGATATTTCTTAAGGAGGTTGATGTGAACTACCTTTTTCTTTTTCCTGCGACCTGGAGTAGCAATTATATAATTAATGTCATTAATTTTCTCCAGTACTTTGAAAGGTCCCTGATATTTAGCAGTTAATGGTTGTTTTCTAACAGGTAAAAACAGTAGCACTTTTTCCCCGACAGCAAATTCTCGTTCAGCTGCCTTCCTGTCATATATTTCCTTCATTGACCACTGTGCACTTTCTAGATTCTCATGAGCAAATTTTTGAAGATGTTGCAACCTGGTTTTCATTTTTCCCACATAATCACTTAGACACACTGAATTTTCCATACCTATCCAGCTTTCATACAACAATTTCATGGGTCCGCGGATGTCTCTCCCAAAAAGCAATTCATATGGTGAAAACCCAAGGCTCTCCTGCTTAGTACATCTTATAGCATACAGCATTAAAGGCACTCCTAGATCCCATTCATTACCCGTTTCCTGACAATACTTCGTGAGCATACTCTTAAGTGTCTGATGGTACCTTTCAAGGGCACCTTGCGTCTGTGGCCGATAAGCTGTGGCACTATACTGCTTAATGTGTAATAATTTCATTACTTCCTGAAACATTACTGACCAAAAATTGCTTCCCTGATCTGACTGTAATACACGTGGCATACCATATTGTGTAAAAAAATTGATCAAGACTGGGACAATAGTACGAGATGTAGCTCGTTTTAAAGGAATTGCTTCAGGATATCTAGTACTAGCACACATGAGAGTAAGCAAAAACCTATTTCCGCTCTTTGTTTTAGGAAGAGGTCCAACACAATCAATGATTACCCTTGAAAACGGTTCCTCAAATGCAGGAATAGGCTTAAGAGGTGCAGGTGGAATAACTTGGTTAGGTTTACCAACCCTTTGACATATGTCACAAGTTCTGCAGTATCTCGTTACATCTGACTTAACACCTGGCCAGTAGAAATATCTGATGACCTTATCAAGTGTCTTCTTGATACCCAAGTGGCCTCCACCTAAGTCGTGAGCCAAACCAATAACTTTAGATCGATAGCAAGTTGGTACCACCACTTGAAAAACTTCATTCCACGAATCGGTTGCTGGTACTTCAGGGGGTCTATATTTCCTCATCAATATCCCAGTATTTAGATAATACCCAGATGACAGTGACTGAATTTCTGATTTTGACATGGCTGCATTACGTAGTGGCATTAGGGATTCGTCAGATTTCTGAGCTTCAATTAACATCCTGCTTGTTATAGGAATCTCATCAATGTTAACTACTTCCCCAATATCATCAATTTTCTCAGTAGAAACTTCAATACTATTTACCTCAACAGCCTCATCACCATTTACCTCAACAGCAGCTTCATCGCCATTTACCTCAACAGCAGCTTCATCGCCATTTACCTCAACAGAAGCTTCATCGCCATTTACCTCAACAGAAGCTTCCTCGCCATTTACCTCAACAGAAGCTTCCTCGCCATTTACCTCAACAGAAGCTTCACCACCATTTACCTCAACAGCAGCTTCACCACCACCAAATAGACAATCCAGACTAAGATCATCCTGCCTAACATCTCCAGCAGAAAGCCTTGGTAACTTCTTCGCCTGGCTTCTCGTTACAGCACATGCTGGAAAAAGTCCTGGATTATTTCTTGCAACATCTACAGCAGGATCATAAGCAACTGGGGATGGACAAACAACAGGATCAGGCAGAACTCGAATCCCCGCAATATCATTCCCCATTAGAAACGATACACCCTTAATAGGCAATGAGTCATGAACACCAACTATAACAGATCCACTCACCAAATCCGTCCTTAGATACAACTTACATAGGGGCACTGTAACACACCCTCCAAAACCTTCCACTACTACGAATTTCCCAGTGTATGCCTTTTCCACAAAAGGAACTGCCTCCTTCAAAATGACACTGTGTGAAGCACCAGTATCACGAAATACAGACACAGGGACAGAAGAACCAGCTTCATCTAAGGCCACGGAACCAGAAAAGATGAAAGGATGAAATGAATCATGATCATCAACCGAGGGACGCTGCGGCAGATCCTGGACATTGTCTGTTGGTACAAAGGTATAATTAGCTACAGGTTTAGGCTCTGAAACTTGTCCCTTCCTCACTAACTTGGGACAATTTGCCTTAATATGGTCGATTTTCTTACAGTAAAAACATCCAGACGACCATCCTGAACCCGTACCTTTACCATAGCTACTTCTCTTTGCCACAAAATCAGAATTCATGCTATCCCGCCCAACAGACTTACCATCCACAGACGGAGCGAAAGCGGAGGGGTGAGAGTATTTATTTATATTTACTTTACTTTTAGAAATCAGATTAAAATTCTCAGCTAACAAAGCTGCTCTCTCAACGGTGTTAACTTCACGCTCCAGCAGGTACATGCGAACTTCTGGCGACACTCCCCTTATGAATTGTTCCAACAGCATAAGTTCTTTTAATCTTTCATAATCACTAACATTGCTTGCAGATAACCAACGAGTTTGCAGTTTAGAAATCTTGTGCATATACTCTACAAATGACTGGTTATTATCTTTGACACAATTCCGAAATCGGTTTCTATAAAACTCAGCACTCAACTGATACGCTTTAAGAATCGCATCCTTCATGGTGTCATAATCGGACTGATGCGATCCAGCCAGAGAGAGATAGACAGAACGACCCTTCCCTTTTAGACTCGACTGAATAAGTATGGGCCAGTAGTCGCGT